TTTTCCCATAATTCCTTCCGTAGGGTAGATAATTGGCATTGAATTTTCAAAAATTTTGACAAAGGTGCAATTCAACGAGTGTCACGCCCAGGTCAATGCACCGACTGAGACAAAAAAACTTGGGGGTTCAAGTTGAGGTTATATGTGACCTAAATCCAAGAGATGGAGACAGGGGTCCTTGCGGTCTAGGAGGAGAAGCGGTAACGGTGACTTGTATCCGGCGCCAGTACGCGGAGCCGGCGGAGCAAACGGAGCCAACGGAGCCGGCGGAGCCGCAGGAGCCGGCGGAGCCGGACGAGACGGGTCGGGACTAAAACCATGAGTACCGCCAGCGTACACGCTGGTGGTACTAATTAAGTACCTGGTAATTTATTATCTAGTAAAATTTATTATTCATCAATTTGAAATACACTGTTAGAAATACACTATCAAGTTGCTGTGACTAAAAGGGATGAATTGTGTGCAGTGCTATTCTGCTTCTCTACTGAAACAGATCTGTGGCAGAAATATCAACATCATATTTCAATTTGAATAGTAAAAGCCCTGGACAAGATGCTTACAATTGTGAGAAGTTTTGATTCAAAATTGTAAGCTACTGTTTGAGACACAAATATGCAGAAATACTGTGATAAACATACCTCAGAGCTGGGGCTCTTAAACCAAAGTATTTTTGCCAGGTCGTCTCCTTGGGTGTGCTCCAGAGCATGCTCAAATACTTCCACTTTCTGCATCAGGGTCAGGTGGTCATAGTCTGGAGCCATCTATTAATGGGAATGAGAGTTAAAACAGTCACTAAAGTCTATATGTGAGGGCATTTCACTGGTCTGTGTTTATCAAAAATATTTTTTTCGTGTAGAAAGATAGCACTACTTACATTAAAAGCTGTAGCACACAATACTTTTGTTGCAAATGAAAATCATTTATTTATAAAAAAAAAATAACAAGACTAAGTATATTTTTATGGTCAAAATACACAAAATGTAATTTAACTTTTTATTGCTTCTTCAGTTACTGTAATCAAAATACAAATTAAAATGTTTGACACAACTTCAAAAGGATTTAAAATCTCAAACCCCTTTACCCTCAACATAATCCTGTGCTCTATGTTCAGCAAGATCTTCTTCTTCTCCCTGTAGTCTCTGATCAGAGAGTGGAGGGTGTCGCAGTGGGGGACCCAGCCTATCAGGCCAGAGTTGGTGGACAGCGGAATGATGGAATATCTCTGGATACTGAAATCATGGAAAAATTGCTATCAAAATACTTATAATTAGAGAAAGTGTAAAGCTTCATTGTGGAGTATCTCTGGATGCTAAAGCTATGAATTAAAACTGGCTTTGTGATAATTATTAATGAATTGAGATACTGGACATAATATCAATATGGAATATCTTTGGATGCTGAAACCAATAATCAAAATCATTACTAAAATAAGAACCTAGTGAAAACAAATGCTTATGACTGATATGCGAAAAAAAAATTGAAAAACAACAGATTTACGAAGTCAAATGTATGCCTTAATATATTAAGTAAAATGTGACAAGGACTGAATATGCCCTTACGTGAGGTTCCTCCTGAATGTCTCAGGGTTATTCATGAGCAGAGAATTGACCAATCCAAACAGCTGCATCACCCTCTCGTCCTGCCTCAAGTCTTCATGCCCCTTCAGTAGGAACACATATTCCCGCCCATTGCTTCCTGAAGTGACAAAATGATTTCAAAGCTTCACATATCATGCGACAAAATTATTTTAAAACAATTGACTTCATAACCCTCACCAGCAGGCGTTCAACCAGTATTGTAAAACAGGGCTTCCAAAATGACCAAATATGACCCGATCAAATATGGTAGCCGTCCAGCCATATAAATAGGCTGTCCTCTTCTCAAACAATATACCTTCTATGCAAGAAGAATTAAATAATTATATAATAATAGAGCTATGACCCCTATACTTTTTCAAAATATCCTTACAAATCTGTAAGCCCCACTCACCAAATATTGACAACTTCCTTGGCCGCTGCTTGGAAGTGATCACTTGTAACGAACTTTGCACGTAAGAAATCCCGACCACCGGCTGGTTCACATCGTAGGTTCCAGGTACAGCCAGTTCCAGATCGCGACAACTCAGAAGATTGGGGCTCACATAATGCAGTTCCAGAGAGGTCAGCTGGGGGAGTTGTTTGGATATCCGTCTGAAGACGTGATAGTAAAGGTCCCAGGCTTGGGTCAGGTCCTTGACGTTGTTTGAACGCTGGTACTTTCGACACCATTCTTGAGCTTCAAGTAGATCACGTCCATAGGCCTGCAGTTAAGACATTTTACACATTAAAAATAAAGCTAGATTTCGTATTGAGATTTCATTTTCATCACTATTTAATCTATCCTTCTTTAAAACAAAAACAAAGAAAAAAATTCATTAACAAAGAAAAATTTAATATAGGATAAATTTTCCATACATCTCCAAATTGTGGTAATTACTTAATCTTTTCAGAGGGAAAAAATACTTTTCAAAAATTATTCCAAAATTATGAATCAAAAAGACTGATAATTTTCCCCATTGAAAAGATCTGAGTCATAACCGTTACCATAGTTACATCACCTGATTAAAGGAGGTTTCTTTCAGTGTCTGTGGCCCTCTCTCCATCATACAGTGGAGGGGCTCCAAAGTGGCAAACATCCCCTTGACGTTCCTCTCTCCAAAATAGAGGCGAGATGCTTCCTCAAGTCCTTCATGCCACAGTTCATGCCACAAGATGGCAACACGGATCAACTCTTCACTCACCTGGATTATTAAGCATAGTTAAAACTTAACAAAATATATTTTAATATGATTTTTATGTTTCTGTTGTGTCTCATCACAGGTATTAGAAAACAAATACTAATATAATAACTATACGATATATGCCACAACAATTACAGATGCGACAAAACTGATAAGTTTGTTAGCAAGTGCAACCAATCCTACTTCTGAGCGAATCAGATAATTTTCTCACCTCTTTTTTTATCAAAATGGAAGAAATTACATTGGGTTTTGGTTTGGTAAGCAGAAGAAATTAAACTGACCCCAGGAAATGTCTTAAAGCTGTTGTAAGTATGCTCTAATATTGCTCACACTGTTGGTTTTACATTTCCACCATTAAATATTCTTTAATTTACAGTATGCTCACCAGCAAAGCTTGCTGGACCAGGGTGTTGCTGTGTTCTCTCATGTTCTTTAACACTTTGTTGGCAGCCGCCTGGCGTGCTGGGACGTTCGACTTGCACGCCACCGTCAGAGGGTAAATAAGTGCCTTGAAGTATTAAATATGATCACAGTGAAGTACAAAAACATTCCACTGAAGACAATATGTGATAAATGGTTAATGTTAAACTAAAAGAAATAAATGACAAGAGGTTAGACCAGTGCATTAAAATAATACATATGATTATGATTAAAACAGAAATTATACACTGCTAATAAAAATGACATTTTTAGGGTTAAAACCTCCAACAATTTAAATGAAAGGTTCAGTTGTAGATGGCAGTCATATCAAGACAGTCCCAATTCCTCACCTGTGGGTGGTGTTTTCCAATGTCCATGAGGAGCTGGTGTATGAGTTTTCCTACCAACTGTCTGGGAGTGTCTATTCTGGCAATCAGCTGGGGAATGACCTGGTTTTAAAAATAAATATATTACCTGTATTTGGGGAAAAATACAGAACACATTTTCAGGTCATTTGCTTTGACAGAACATTGAGTAAAGCAGCCCCAGAAGTATATTTTGCTAAATTAAAGTTCTTAATATACAGTGTGGGTTAATAAATAAATTAATTAGTTAATTAAATCATATAAATATCTTGTTCATAATTTCACGTTTCACCACATCAACATTATAATAAATACTGCAAAGTCAACTGTGCAAGCATCTGAGTTTAGTGGGAAAACTTTCCTCTTTTTGCATGAATCAGGCCTCCGGTTTACAAATCATCAACAAGAACTAAATCAAATGCTTTTTCTAAATCCCAGTGTTGCTTACACCTACCTGTAACCAGTTGTCAATCTGGATTGTCTTGATACTCTCAGTCAGGGCCTCATACACTTCTGACCACTGGCCATAGTCAAACCACAGGGTCAGCAACCTGAAAATGACCAACAGTCAAAGGTGGACCTGTATGAAGGGGCTGATATAAATGTCCCAGGAACAAGAAAATGAAAGTGACATGGTCTCTTATTTTTTGTGCTTGCTAACACCCTTACTGCACAGATGTTAGGAGGATTCAAAGAAGGTATAGGTGGTGCTAAATCATCATGCAGGACATGTGATGTGTGTAAAGAAAATACGAGTCAAGTCAGATTTGCCAAGGATTTCCCTGTGAGAGATGAGCAGAAGCACAGGGATCATGTGAGTAATCTGGAATGAGTAAGAAGACGTATGTGTGTTATTCAAAAGAAAGGGGGCTCAATGGGTCAAGAATTTGCCAAGGATTACCCTGTGAGAGATGAGCAGCAGGAGCACAGGGATCGTGTGAGTAATCTGGAAGAAGTGAGTAAGAAAACATTTGGGCATTATTCAAAAGAAAGGGGGTTCAATGGTAGAAGCATTCAACATGATGTTCCAGGATTTTCTTTGACCAAGTGTCTGCTACATGATCTAATGCATGTGCTCTTTGGGGGTGTACTTCAAGTTGCGTTTCGATGTTTGCTGCAAGTGATCACCATGCAGAAAACATTCATTTCTTTGGATAAGTCAGTTCCAAAATCCTCAATATTTTCTTTTCAGAAAATGAATTGAAAGAAAAATCACAAATCATTGACAGAAAATGGCTTGATGAAGGAAAAACGTTTGCCCAGGCAGCAGCCTTAATGAAAAACTTGATCACAACATTACCCTTCATTTTAGCAGACTACATCCCAGAACATGATGAACACTGGAGGAATTTCTTGCGCTGCCTGCTAATTACCCTCACTGCATTATCACCAGAGGGATCTAAACGAACACTGGAATAGCTGTGTACTCTAAATGAATTCTGGAAGTTTTATCCAGATAAATCATTCACATCAAAGATGCATTACCTAGTTCACTTTCCAACCCAGCTTCTCTTGTTTGGACCACTTAGGAACCAGTGGTGCATGAGGTTTGAAACAAAGAATAGGTTCTTCAAACTACAGAGATGGTTCAACTTTAAGAATATACCAAAATCCCTTGCAGCACATCATCAGACGTAAATGTGCATGCAGATGTTAAGATCAAATGGTACGAGGTCAGAAATTTACCTTTACCAGGGCGATAAAGTTGAAGAAGAAGAGACCATCCCCATATCCTTACTGAATCACAAGGGAGAAATCATTCAATGATTGAAAATAACCCACAAGAAAATCTGTGTGGAGACACAAACTTGTTGAAAACATCTAAGGTTGCAATTAATGGCATAACATACCAAGTTGGAACTGTTTTAGTCAGTGAATATGAACTTGAGCCTGAGCTCAGTTGTTTTTGGAGATGAGAAGTATTTTACTTGTGAAAAGTTGGAAATAATTGACTTCTGCCCACTGAGTTAGCTTTTGAAGTGCAAAACTCTCGTAATATCGAAGAGTATCTCTACCACAGATTAATATTTCACCTCAGTGTGTCCTGCAGCGAGTTCCCACTGGATAAAGCTATGGAACGGAAGAAGCCCTGGACTGCTGGGATGCAGTACTTGAACATCTTGGCCGTGTTCTGAAACAAAACAGATTACTAGGTAAATGGATTTTTTTGTATATAAGAGTTCCTTAAAATCCTTTATTCTTTCTTTTGTGTGTGTGTGTGTGTGTGTGTTGGGGGGGGGGGGATATTGTTTCTTCTCTAAAATTCCTACCTTCAATGAAACTTTTTCAAGCCTTTCAAGTTATCAGGCAGAACACATGCTAAATAATCACAAATAACCTTAAGTCAGTGTACATGAATGTATAGCTCCACCTAGCAGTGAATGCTATTCTCCCATGCTGCTAAGTACTCACACTCTCTCCTCCTTTGACTGCTTCTCCAGACTCTTTCTTCCCCACAGCCGCCCCTGTGCCATTCTGGGTGGTGCTCTGTCCCTGCTGCTTGAAGAACAGCACTGCTTCGTAGTTCATGTAAGCCCAAGCATGCCATGCCTGAAATACAATTAACACATGAGAGAGAGAGAGAGAGAGAGAGAGAGAGAGAGAGAGAGAGAGAGAGAGAGAGAGAGTTTGCATGTCTATTCATGACTGGATGAGTTCAGGCAAAAAAAAAAATATATATATATATAATTGGGAGAGAAGAGGTCATGCAGGTTAAAGGTCAGAGGAAAGGTGAAAGGTCACTGACCTTGTACCAGTTCCTGTCATGCTCAGTGGCAGCGCTGAAGTACTGCAGCACCCTGGGTATAGAATCCTCTGTGATCCCCTGGACATCCTCCAACCAGTCCCCTAGCTTCAGGTAGCATCTGAACAGATGAAATATGAGGGGGATTACTTGTTAGGCAGGTTAAATAATGAATGTTCAACTTGTTAATGAAAATGAATGGAGCTTCAGGAAGCATCTGTTTTAGGAAAGAGGGGATAAGGAATTTAAAGAAACTTTATACTGTAGCAGGACTCTATATATTCAAATGATGAAAGGATCAGGTTTATAATTTAAGGGGAGAATACATAAATTAATTTAATGTTCACTCATGCTGTAGCATGGCTCTATGTACCTTAATCCACATGGTGGTAATTCAAGAAATTACACAAGTTATTAGCACAAAGGGTTTAAGGCAACTGAAATCTTCACATATTCATCTTTGACTAGACTGGTTGTCTATTGTGGCATACTAGACCTTAATTGGTTTAATTAAGCTTTGGGTGTAAACACACCTCATCCACAGCAGCACTTACTTAGCCAACAGTTTGTTATACTCCGCTTTCTGTGAGGATTCCTCTGGGGCATTGAGCTGGTTCACACGTGGCTGGAGAGAGTTCTTCACAAAACGATGCAGATTTTCAAATGCTTCGTTCTGAAAAATTAAAGCCAAAATGATCATAAAACCCACTCCTTTGTTGACAGTCAACCAGTCCTTCTTTATGTTATCAATGATAATAAATAAATAAATAAATAAATAAATTTAATTAATTAACTGATTAATAGATAAAAGCAACAACAAAAATCCTCTCATTTTATCATTTTCCCCTAATTTATCTTTAAAATCCACACATACTGAAAAGACGCTGTCATTATAAAATACCTTCTTGTTGCTCTTCCACATGTGTTTCATATAGGCAAAGGTGACAGCAGGGTGGCTGGTGGGGATGGTCTGGTCAGGACTCTTAGCTGGGTCAACTCCCAGTAACATGACCAGGGTCCTGTGGGATAATGCCTGGAATAGGAGACCATGACTCACTGTTATATCATGCCTGGTCATGTCTAGTCATGTCATTTATGTTAGTTATTCCGTGTCATGTTACGTAGTCTTGTTATTTATGTCATTCTGTGTCATGTCATGTCATGCTGTCATAACATTTATGTTATTCCCCGGTATGTCATATTGTGTGATATCATTTATATTATGCCCTGGTATGTCATATCATGCTGTGTTATGTCATGTATATTATTCTGCCGTATGTCATGCTATGTCAAATATGCTGTTATGTTATTTTATATCACTATACTGCTTCAGGTTACATTTCTTGTCATGTAATGTCAAGTCACAGCATATTACATTAAACTGCCTTAGGCTGGGGTAAGAATTCCCAGCAGGTATACATTATGTTATCTACTTTCTATTTATAACATCTAAAATATCATTAAAAAATAACTTTTTATTATATTTAGAAAAGGATGTCTTCAAAGCAACACACTGTCTAAAATGCCCAGCACAGTGTACATACCAGTCTCCCACTCTTCCTGCAGAGACTGGCATATTTCAGCCACGTCCTCATGTCTTCCTGGGGGGTCACCACCAGGGAGCGCACCTGGATGATCCTCTGCCAGTCCTCGACCACCCGCTGACACCCCTGGGGAGAGGAGCATAGCAGAAAAATAATTACTTGTTTACTGTCTCTCTCACTTCATGCCTGTGTGTGTGTGCATGTGTTTGTGTTGGGGGAAGTTTTATATCAACCATAATAATTGTATTATTCCCCATTCTGACTACAGATGTCAGCACTTAGCCTGTGCATGAGGACCCATACTACCACCATGTTCTGACTATAGATGGCAGCACCTTACCTGCAGCCTGTTCCACCATGTTTCCTTGATGGAGTTTCTCCTCTCTGGCACCAGTTTATACTGCATCACCTCCTCCAGCTCTGACAACATCTGAACATTCACCATAGCCTAGAAAACAATGTCAACTTTATAAAAAAATTTATGTCTGTTTTTTGAAACTATGATGAATGTTGTATGGATCAAGTAGAAGAATTCCCGTTCAAACAATAAGTAAATTTAAATCTGAAACTCCAGATAACATCAAATTATTTAAACAAAGTTCTTACTTAATTGTAGTCCCCATACTTACACCATAGGCTCTGTTATAGCTTTCCCCAGCCATAGCAGTAAGCTCTGTGTCCAGTATATCGCGGGCTTTGTCTATACACTGAATAATAAATAGGAGCAAACTTAGTTCAATTGAATGAGTACAGGTATGCAAAGCACTGTTTTATTTCTATCAAGTTTGTGGATTGAAGGTTTTAAAATTCTTATCTTAAATAAATATTATGCAGTTTCTGCAATAACAATTTGAGTACCAGTAACTTGGAATAATATAGTAACCTGTTTCAATCCCATGTGTCAAACATTCATATATTTACCTGTAGTCTGAAAACAGACAAAGTAAAATAAATGCATGAACACATAAACACACATGCTCACTGCACACATGTACACACACACACACACACACACACACACACACACACACACACACACACACACACACACACACACACACATACCTGTTGAGCCACAGTATACTGGTCCACATGTAAGGCCTGCACAGCCCTGTAGAACGCCCCCTCCATGCTGTCCCGTGGTATCATACAGCTATACTCCTCCATGCTATCCCACTGTCCCAGACCCCAGGATGCCACAGCAGCCAGCCGCGCCATCTGCTGGCGAGTTTCGTCACTAGCCAGCGGCCATTTTTCACAGGAAAGCTGGTACAGCTGGCCCCTTTAAATAAAGGATGAAAAATTTTGTGAAAAATGAGGGGGGGGGGGGGTGTAGGGGCATCTGGTAGTCATAATAAATGACAGTCACTCACATAATTATCCAGTCTTCCAGATAAATCCAGCAGACTTTTATCTCTATATTATATAATATACTAGTAAGCATATAACCCACCACTCTCCCAGTGCCTCCAAGCATCTCATTCTCCCCAGTGTGAGCTGCACATTATCTGGCTCCTTCTCTTGTTTGGCCTCGTAAGCACTCAGTGCCTCCGTCCACTCATGAAGCTTCTCATACCATCTCTCCTGAACTTTCTGAAATGTAGAAATCAAGAGAGCCAAATAATTATTAAATTTTCAAACACTGTTTGAGGTATATATTCAATTTTTTTTACAAACTGTATCAACTAGTGAGCCTCTATGAGTGCAGATTTCAGTCATGGAAAAATTCCATTAGTGAAAAAGATGACAAATCTTTTCAGGATAATAGAAGGCAAAAATTAAGTTGAAATTATTATCACTTTTTCCTGTACTGTTTGACTATCTATCCTAAAAATTTCAACAATATTTGTGAAAAGCTTTTTTCAGACATCTTCTTCATTAAAAACAATGCTGGTGAAAAGGTAATCTTCTTTGTTGGTGGAGATCATACCAATAATCTAAAACATTATTGCAAAGATGGATTGTTTTCTTTATTAAAAGATTTATAACAATTTACCCTCTTTAATAAAGAAAATAACTTATGTGCTTACAATATCTGACTTGTGGTGAGCCATGGCATACTCCAGTACCCCTGCTGCTGCCTCTGGTTGCTGCAGCTTATTGTTGATGCTAAAATACCAGATATCACAGACCTATAGAAACCTTGTGACAGACCAACTAAATATGAAGCAAAGAGCATTTTGTGATTTTGTAAAAAAAAAAAAAAAAAAAAAAAAGGGATTTGTAAAAATTGTACAGATAATGCTCTGTCCTATACTAAAACCAATGTAAATAAGTTAAGAATCTAATTTCTTTAGTAATTAAATTAAAATTGAAAGTAAAATTAAAAAATTAAACTTGTGAAATTTTGTCCAAGTTGAAGCATAACCTTCTTGAGCCACAAACCAAATCACAATATTCTAAAAAAAAAAAAAAAATTTAATATGGAAAAAATACAATTATCACTCAAGAGTTCACCTTATCAGAGCCTCTAAGGTAGATGTGGAGGCAGTGCGATGGAATTCATCTTCTTTATAATGCAAAGCCTTGGCAAAGGCACGACATCTCATAGCCCTCTCCCCAAGTAAACTAGTGTCCAAGGGTAAGGGGCCCTTCATGTGAAAGAAATTGAAAATTGCCCATTTATAATGGTAACCGTGCACAATTTCTATTTGTAATTTCTTTAAGTGGAATGTATGTTTTACTTAATACTCATATATATTACGACATCTTTTTATTTCTTTGAAATCTAACTCCAGATGACTATGGTTAACTTGTATGCTTAGTTTCAAACACCTCACTTCCTGTAATATTTCAGACATTCACAACAATACACTGAAATATATGAACTCGACAAAATTTTCAAATGTATTTATTTTTATTCACTTATAATTTTTGGGGGAAAGGAGGTTTGGGGATGGGGTGGGGTTTGGGTACCCTAGGTTCTAGATTCCGGTATTGCCAGCTCGATCTTGATTTCATATATAACCCATAGTAGCAATACCAGGCTCTAGCGAACAGTGGCAACTCGGGGGCGTTCTTCTTCAAAATTCTGCCTGGGGCGCTTCCATATTTGGAAGTCACACGTCACAGCTGTGTCTGCCTGTATCCATATTTGGAAGTCATAAGTCTCGTACGTCACAGGTTTGGCCGCCTGGAGCTGCCTTTCCCGCCTTGCGCTGAAGTCTCGTGCAGGCGAGACAAGAAGCAATTAAAGTGCCTGACGCGGAGTTAGAAGTTTGAATTGAAAATATCTTGCAGTCGAAGGTCAGTGCCACAATACAAGCAACATTCTGCTGTAAAAACTTATTTTCGTGTAGCCATTGCGCAGCCCTTATAGTGGTATCGGGCATACAGTGTAGCTGTCAAATTTGGCACACGGCAAGCACATGTATTGTGCACGTGTATATCTCAGGACTAAATGTTCTTTGATAAGCAAAAAATACAAAAACATTGCAATGGATATATCTTTTCTTTCCGCAGAATATTATTTATTTTTTCACTTTACATCTTAAATACAGCAAATAAAATTAAATAAAGCAGAATTAAATTTGTTTTACGTTTTATTTTGGTCTGATGACATTCAACTGCATTTTCACTGCGGAGCAGTTCTATTTGATTGATGGAAAACTTTCATGGCCACTGGTCTTCAGAGTTAGTAAAAGCGACTCCACCACAAGGTATATTTAGCAAGCTAGCTTTTACGTTGCTCTGACACTCAGGGTAGGTTTGGGGTGTGAGAGATTTATACATGTTTTTCGCATATTGAGTCAGCACCAAAAACTCACCTTTTCACAATGCTCCATGAACTCTGCCAGGTTCAGCAGGGTCTGTGTGATCTCTGGCAGGTCTTGCGATGTCAGCGCCTGTTCCAGACTTTGGATAAGCTCGTCTTGCTGCGTCTCGCTCAGCTCCGTCCAACATGACACAAAGGCAGCATTGAACAAGTCCCTGTAAGATCACAAATGGGTCTTCCATTTTTTTTCTTTTGTTCCTTTTCAACTATTTTTATATAACTTTCTTCCATTTTCATTTATTTATTACTTTCTTTCTTTTCATTTTTTTTTTTGTTCCAGGCTTTGTTTAGCCTTCTACAGTCATGACAATAAAAAACTTTGGTTACTAAATTCTTTAAATCTGTGATATAACGCCTATAAATCCAGAAGCATTACACCCACCTTGCGAGTGGGTTATATGTCTGTGCCAGAGCCCAGCAGGAACGCAGAGCTGGTGATGGCGACTCTTTCAGGAGCTCTATACTCAGTCTACGCAGCCACTCCATCCAGTCATCTTTGGACACCCGTCTAGTAGCAAGCCAGGCCTGCAAATAAAGGACAGGTACTGTTAAATTGTGCTCTAATATTTTTTGTATTTGTGGATTCCTTGTCAGTATTGAAGTTGCTAGTCTAAAGGACTCCTGCAGTCATTGCAAAATTCTTTTCTTCAGTTGGAATAAAATTCATTGTTTATTAGGCTTTCAGGTTGAAAAAGGCAGATCTGAACTGCCAAATAATTTTTTTTCAATTTCATATTTTAAGACCATAAAAATAATCTGATTTGATTTCTTCATCAGATTTTACATATAACATAATTATTTAAGCTAAAAAGAAGTTCCACTTACCCTCTGCAGGGTTGCTGAGCTAACATGGAGTTTCTTGATTGTCGCCGTTTCGGCACTCTGGTCTGGCGTCTGCTGACTAGGCCTATTACGATTCTGCTTGTGCTTGTACAACAGTGGGTCATCTTCCATTTCTGCATAGGTGGAACCCTGACAGGAATATTTCTTAGCTATACAATATTATCTGAAGACTCTGACTGAGCACATAGGTAGATTTAAAGTTGAAGAAAATGGCACCTGTTGGAACTGGCATTGAGGGTGGCAAAGCATACTCATTAAGCTTATTGGCCATGGGGGGGGGGGGGGGAGTATTAAAAAGAACCACCTTTTTGCCAGAAAGGTTCTGCTCTGAATCAAATTCTGATCTATTTTCTGGTTATTTTTTGAGTTGGGTCAACTGAGGGGGTAAAAAGGTGATGATTTTACAAAGCAGGAGTTCATACCCCACACTCCACCAACCTTGATGATCTTACACAGCAGAAGTTCATATCTCTGGTGAGCCACTTTATGTTTGGTCAGCACCTTGGCCACCATGGGGATGAAGATCTGGTACTTCTTCCCCAGCTGGACCACCAGGGCGGCCAGAGTGTCCATGGCTGTCCCCCTCAGCTCTGGAGTGGTGTCCAGGGTCCTAACCAGGGGGTGGATGATCCTGGACGCAAAGTCTGTCAGGTCCAGGGAGTCAGTCAGACGGTCGACAGTCTCCAGAGCTCCCCTTGAGAAATGAAGTTGAAATGAGTTTCCACAAGGTAAGGGAAGTTTTCAAAAATAGATAATAGATGATAATAGATAATGAAAAGCCATGACACACACCCATTAAAAACCTCGATATACACTCATGAACAGCCATGACGTCACACTTGTGAAAAGCCATGATATTCAACCATGAACAGCCACAATGTCCTCCAATGGATTACCATGAAAACCACACATGGACAGCTATGATATACACTAAGTCTTGTGAATATTAAGACGTACCTTCTAACAGGAATAGGCACATCTGCTGAGTCAAAGAGTCTGACAACTGGAGGCAGCAAAAGGTGAAGATAGTCATCTAAGTTTGGACCAAACATCTGCATGGCGTTCAGCAGCTGAGAATGAAACCAGATTAATGTTAAATATTGGTTTTGTATCATGTCTTACTCAAAATAGGGCTGCATGCACTTAATTTCACATCCTATTTTTATCGCCAATAAAACATGTCCCCAATTACAGAAAAAATACCTTTAAAAGGCATGAAAACAGAACTAAAATGTATATTTTATTACTGTAACATCAAAATTATGTACTTTAACTTCTACAATTTTCAACAGATATAACTACTTGTGAGCATCAAAATTTGTGATCGTGTAACAAAATTATTATATTTTTCACCTTTCCAGTCACTTGTCTGCCTGGACTGCTGTCATGCATGAAAACCTTCAGCATCTGGGGTACGATTTGTGGCAGGTAAATCTTGAATTCTGTCCCCAGCGCTATCACAATCTGCTCTATCAGAAGTATGATAGTGTTCTGCATGGGGCTGTTTGGAGTCCAGTAGTCCTAGAGGAAATAAAACAAGGCAGCAAAGCTGTCAATGTACAGACAAAAACCAGAAAATTAAAAAATATTACTAAACAGGAGGTTCCCCAGAATTTGGGGTATGAGGAGTTCAAAATGTGAATCTGTAATTTCTTCACCAATTTACAGGGAGTCCAACACTTCATTTCCCGAAAATTTCGTAAGCCTTCCATCAGCCTTTGTTGGACGACTCCCTGGGCAAAGCCTTGTTACTTAATTAAAATAGAAAATGAATCTTGTTTTCTTTAACAATTAAATCTTTAACTCTGTCCTCAGTTCCATGAACTGTGAATCTAAGGATCAATTCTGATCATTTTCCACTTACGATTCAGATTTTTTCAATTACCATGAAATTCTGAACTTAAAGCAATGTCACACTAGAATATATATATAAAATTTACCCTGATGAGAGAGAAGATATCATCCAAGTAATTCCTGATGTGCTGTTTCACTATGGCAATTATTACCCCCAGCTGTTGGAACAGAAACTGGAAAAAAAAAAAATTTTTTTTTTCATTACATACTACATGTGTTTTTTAGAAACCAATAAAGAATGCTCGTTTGCAAAAAGTTCAATTTTTCAAAGAATTATACAGACCAATATTTATCTCTCAAACCTTTAACAAATATAAACCATTACATGAATATGTGCTATCTGATTCCAGTAGTAAGCACTCATTTATACATATAAATTTACAATTTCAAACATTCCAAACGTAGTACTACTGTTTCCAGTAGCTGGCGTCCTTTCACAGCTTTAAATGCATACAATTTATACAAAACCACATAGAAATACCTCTCTAAAGGTGGCATCAGAAGTCCTGATAACATTCAAGTAAGCTGGCATCACTTGCTGTATATACGGCACACACTTTATCCCAAGACTCTTAAAGATAAACGTGATTGCCTGGACCACCATGGTGTGGTGTTGCGCCAGTGACGGGTCCTTGATGATCCTCATCAGAGTGGCGATGGCAGTCGCCGGGTAGAACTCTTCCAGAGTCGCCGTGGGCATGTTGACCAGCATTTCACTAGTGCTGTATTCTCCTGTGATGTAAAGATTGGATTTATTTGAATTCCTATTTAAATTCAACCACTTCCGTTTCAATTAATGATAAACTTTGGTTATGGTTAAGTTATTGAAAATGAAAGAACCTTACAAAGCAACCTAACTGAAGGAGCTTTCAACAAGCCTTTCTCAGCCTACATTTATCCTCAAAATGTTGTTTATGTACATTAAATAAGCATGAGAAAAAGAGACTTATATATAGCAACAAAGAGCTAACAAAATTGATATTTCAAGCCAAGAAAAACTATATTACTCCATTGTTTTTTTTCCAAAGAACTGGAATACCACTTCACACTCTGATTCAATGCCAAATATTTTTCTTGAGTCCTCCTTGACATTTTGATAAGTTTACCACAAAACGAACAGTCAGCCAGCAATCAATTACCTGTCTGCTCCTCCCCCTTTGTATTGTCTGACATGCTAAGCACCGCCCCTGCATCACTAGACCTGTCAATCACTCCTAAGTTGACCTTGTGCTTATATGGGTCAAGGGCACCAAGAAGTCCAAGCACTCGTATTGCCTGAAATTGTTGTTTGTCATACTTACAAAAGTTTGCACTGTTTATTAAATCATATTGATAGTAAATGTGCTATTATGACTCCTGTTTAATTTTTCAGGCATACAGTCACCTGATGTGAACCAAACAGAGATGCATGTGGAGTGTTGTAAACAATAAACAAACTTAAATTTATTCTGATGGAAGTTGATCTGTGTAGAACTGCACCCTGTAATGCAAAGTTCCTAACTACTCTGAGTTTATGTCTCCTTGCTTCAGTTCGACTGATTAGGTACTAAGTGTTGGTACAAAAACTTTTACACGTATGCTTTCAGCTAGTTTTAGAAATTGAAAAAAAAAATTAATTTCCTCAATTCAAACTTTTAATTTACTTAGTTTACTTTTTATAATCTATTATGTTAAATCCAGCTCTCACCTCTCTCCTAATGGCGTGGGACTGCTCAGTCTTCAGGAAGTTCAGCAGCACCTCCAGTAAGTGTGGGTACTTCTGATATGGTTCCACCACATAGCCTGTACTCTCTATCAGCTGACCCAGGGTCCATATGGATATCTGATGATGGAAAAAAATCAATGGTATTAATTAAAAGATGACCAATTAGATTAAGAAGAAATGTATTCAATAATGACCAATATATGTGAAGCACAAATTAATGAATATTACTGATGCACTTTATGGGAGAGTTTCATGTGCTAACTAAATTCATGAAGTTTCTCTTTGCATTTTCTCTCTCCTTCCTCTCTCTTTCTAAAACACTCACACACACCACCCCCTCTATCTGCATCTCTCTCTCTCTCTCTCTCTCTCTCTCTCTCTCTCTCTCTCTCTCTCTCTCTCTCTCTGACACACCACAAAGACTGACCTCTCTCTTCTGCAGGGAGGACGAGTCCTGCATCATGTCCAGCACAATGGGCAGCAGCTGGTCCATCCACTTCCTCATCTCCATCCCACTGACCCGCGCCTGTTCCCCTATGGCTGAGAGCACGCTGTTCACTACCCCAGGGTTGGGGTCCTGCTCTGTCAGCTTGGGGATCAGAACCTGCAGGGAAATAAGTGTTCAGAAATCAACATTGAAATAATTTATTTGTAATTCATCTNACACATCTGTGTGTGTGTGTGTGTGTGTGTGTGTGTGTGTGTGTGTGTGTGTGTATGAGAGAGAGAGAGAGAGAGAGAGAGAGAGAGAGAGAGAGAGAGAGAGAGTTAGTTCACCTTCTGATATTTAAGAAAGTGTGATAAGTTCATCAGATCTCTGTCCATTTCTCCCAACTGCACTAAAGTAAATGGGATCATTTTTAGTAAAGTTATTCAACCAAAAGACTTAAAAGCAAGCCCATCCGACTTAAAATAAGCCATGAACTCTCAGCCTTGTTTTATTACCTTAAGGATGGGTTCCATGTATGGTCTGATGAGTCTTGGGGCATTGGAGACCAGATGACCCAGAAGTCTGGCCGCCTGCTCCTTGTTCCTGCCAACACCACTGTGTTCCAGCTCTGTTAAAATCTTTTGAATGAAAAGATCAGAAAAACTGTAAAATCTTTAGAATGAAAAGATCAGAAAAACTGTAAAATCTTTAGAATGAAAAGATCAGAAAAATGGTTAAATCTTTTGAATGAAAAAAAGTGCAATTTCATCGAAATGAGCAAACCATGACATGAAAAAAACAACCATGACACATTCATGACATTTTACACCTACTTGTATTAGAACTTTTCTCAAAGACGGCATGACATAGGCAGGGTTCATTGAACTTAGTCTGGCAATGGTACAAATAGCCAGCTCTCGGATATCAAACACCTCATCATTCAAGGCAACAAACAGTGCGCTGAGGTTTTCCGCCTGCGCCAAGTGGGAGTCAAACTTTTCGTCCAATGAGGCGAGCACACAGAATCGAATATCTGGGTCTAGAAGAGCAATACAGAAATTTAATGAAAAGAGCACATAATGGACATTTTATTGAATCAGATCACCAAACTGTTTGTGAATGACAGATCTTAAATAATGAGACTACTTGGCCTAGTTTTCAACATTTTTAAAGTATACTCAAGGACAAAGTAGTTAAGGTAGTTAACGTTAACAGGAAATTAGGTTGACTAAACTATGTTAAGTGTACCTGTTTGTCTTTTGTTTTTGAAACAGAAATGTTTTAAACTACTTTTTGATAAGTTTTTCTTTTCAGAAAAATATTTTCTTGTACCATCAACATATTGCTGTTTGACTTAAAACTATAGAGAAGATCATTTGAAAAGACACAAATGGAAGCCAATGCTATAAATTATCTAAGTATGACAAATACACCACAGATTAAAGAACACTTATCCAAAAGATAATTTGAAAATATCAACTTTGAAAAAAAAAATAAATTAAATAAAATACTTTAAAATTTACCAGAGTCTGTGATTCCAACCATGAGGAGTTTGTTGAGAACATCAGCCACTGTATTCATGGCAGAAGAACTCACGTGGCCCTGGTTCTGTGAGACAAGCTGGAAATGGAACACAATAGTAAGACAATAACATTTTGTCCATAACCTTCTCTATCTCCCTCTATCTCTTAAACACACGCACACACACAGAGAGAGAGAGGAAATGTCATGTGCTTCAATCTACAGAGTACCAACTTACATTTAGACATGGCGTCAGCAGACGTGAGCATGTACTGACTGCCTCCATGCGGATCTCCTTGTGTTCACTGGACAGAAAGGTCTCGGCACAGTGCCGCACAAACTGAGTCAAATACTGACCTGAAAAAGGATGTAGCCATTATGTTATTGCAAATTTAACAAAAACATTTTTGGCTTAAAAGTAGTCATGGCTTTGCATGGAAAATGATAAGAAAATACTTGANAGAGAGAGAGAGAGAGAGAGAGAGAGAGGAAATGTCATGTGCTTCAATCTACAGAGTACCAACTTACATTTAGACATGGCGTCAGCAGACGTGAGCATGTACTGACTGCCTCCATGCGGATCTCCTTGTGTTCACTGGACAGAAAGGTCTCGGCACAGTGCCGCACAAACTGAGTCAAATACTGACCTGAAAAAGGATGTAGCCATTATGTTATTGCAAATTTAACAAAAACATTTTTGGCTTAAAAGTAGTCATGGCTTTGCATGGAAAATGATAAGAAAATACTTGAAGATGGATTTATCTAGCCAAAATTGTCCTCAAAAATTTCCCGAAACAATTTTGGTCAAGAGTTAAATTTGGTTTCATGTTGGGCACATAACATTGTACACCCTAACTTTCAGAATAGGCACCTCAAATTAAAAATCAATAAATATCAGTGTATCAGTGTATCAGAGTATCAGTGTGTTGTCATTTTACACAAGATACATTTCAGACTCATTGCCAAGTTAATAGTGAATATCAAGATTCTACCCTAGTATTTTGATTTCTTACCTTCAAAGTCAAAACTGCCCAGTGTCCGCAGTGCCAAGGTAATACTGGTCACATCTTGGGCATCAGAGACTCCCTGACCAACTGGAAAAAATCAGTTTAGTCAGGAAAACAAGAATCTTTTTTCACATTACACTGACATAGTTCACAAATCTCAGTGAGAATACATACCCTACCTTATTTGCTAAAACAGGAATTGAACTTGGGTGAGTCCACATTAAATTTACTTTACAAAATATACCAAATGTCCAGACTCAAAAATACTAAATAAGAATTAACCTTGGAGTGAAACTTGAGAGACTCTAGATAGGAAATTATTTTTATATTTAGTTATGAATTAAACTTTATTTCTTGAGGGTAAAACATGGTAAATCTAAAATTAACTTCCCCGTGGAATCACTATGCACTTCACTGTACATATGCTGTGCATATGCACTGTACACACTAAATAAGCTGATAAACAAACCTAAGAATGGCACAGGCAAAGTGGAACTTTTAGGTGCCCCGGGGTGTCTAAGGGGCCTTCCCATGAGCACCAGGGACAGCATTTTGAGAAGGCCATCCTGAATGTCTTTCTTCAGCTGAGGAATCTGGGTGGCAAGGTCCCTCAACGCTGCAGTCAGGGCAGGGCTGGAAATTATATTTTTATTGTCGAAAATACATAAATCTAAGAAGGCTTTATGAATAACAGTTCTACATTAAATCTAGAAACGCTTTATGGATAACAATTCTACATTAAATCTAGGAAAGCTTTATGGATGACAGTTCTTGACTATATTAAATCTAGGAAAGTTTCATGAAAGCTTGGGAGGGTAAATTATGAAATTTATTTGGGAGCCAAGTACCAGTGCCAGTCTTTTTCATACTGACAACTTGCTTCCATCAGTTTTCACATCACCCAAGAGGCTTAATAGTGACCAAAGTCAATGAAGCTGCCCCCAGCCCCCACACTCCTGGAAACACATGGGAGAATAAATACCATAATAAAAATGTATTCACTCATGACCTAATTACCTGAGTCCAACTGCCAACATGGGTTCCAGCAGTTCCTTGATGTCCTTGGCTAGTGCTGGTCCCACCGCCCTGGCCAACATACTGACACAAGTGAACACAGCCGGGTCCACATTGTTCCTCTGCTTCCTGGAGAACATATAGAACACTAATTAAATAAAGAAACAAGAACTGATTTTGGGTCCATGTTGTTCCTCCGCTCCCTGGAGAATATTAAGTATAACGCAAATTCAACACAGAAACAAGAACTTGCTCATATATTTAATGCTATCACTGTTTGGCTTCCAAGTTTAATAAAACATGTTTTGCACAGAATAACTCCACAATGCACTTTGCTCAATGGTTAATAATAAAAGTCAGGTGAATAAACAATACAATTCCCCCTTGTAGTACTGTTTGTAATAAATATAATAATAATAATAATAATAATAATAATAATAATAATAATAATAATAATAATAATAATAATAATAAATATTAGTTATTTTTGTTGCAACCATTGTTGTCATTATCAAGATCATCATCATCATTATCATCATCATGGTTGCAATTGCTATTATTATTATTATCATCATCATCATCATTACTTCTGAGTTAAATCTTTGGCAGGCAGAGACTGTCTAATCACGTCCATCAGTTTGGGCAGGTGTCTTTTAATCTCTGACTTTACAGACACAGCAATGAGCCCAATGGCCTGGAAGGCTGCAGATCTCTCCCTCTGGTTCTTCAAACAGCCCAGAAGATAGCTCATGGTCTCTCCTAAATACCTGAAAACACAAAACAAAGAGAATAGCACACAACTATGCTGATGATAAGATTTCATTCATGGTCTACCAATGTTTAAGTGGTGTGAAACTGACCTTTCAAAATTATTAAAATAATGAAAAAACAAGGCAGCAAAGCTGTCAAATGTACAGACAAAAAGCAGACAATAACAATGCACAAAACGGGCTACTGTCAATTCTGATGCAAAAGTACATTATGCATAACTGCAAATTCAACATCAAATTTTAATTATGCTCAACAGGTAATACCAATGTAAGTGAAATGTGTAACAAGCGTAAGGCTTCAGGCCCATGGGAGTTTAAGTTCACACTTTGAAAATGCCAGAATGAGAAAAATAAAAATTTCACATAAAACTGCTTAAATTCAATAATAAATGATAACCCATTTGAGCTGGTTTTCTTATTTGAACTGCATGCCAATCCTACAAATCATACTTGTAAGTTGAAAATAATAATAAGTAACACAGTTTTCTTTTCATAATGTTTGTAGTAGCAGTGCAAAAAGATTTTTGTCAATTTTGATGTAACATTACATAATAAATTACAGAATAATTATCACCAATTTTTGATTATTGACTATAAATAGCATGGACATGTAAAAAATTTGATTACCATTTGGCTTCATGTCCATGGAAGCTTCGAGTCCCACAATGAATATGCCAACATGATAAAAATGAATATTTCACTAAAATGTATAACTTCCAGAAAAAGAAGCCAATTAGACTGCTTTTCCAACTCAGGCTGCATTTTAGTCCTTTGTTTCTTTTTTGAAAGTTTGACAATCATAAGTAACATGGTTTTCCCATAATGGTCATCATGGCAGCAGCACCCAAAATTGTGTTTTCTTCTATTTTAATGCAATATTACATAATGCTTAACAGCATAATGACCATCAGTTTTTAATAATAAAAGATCCATATCATGGATTTTCAGAAAATGTGATTAGCATGGGTCTTCAAGCTCGTGGAGGTTCTTAAGTCACACCTTGAAAATGCCAATATGTGAAAAATTAAATTTTCACAAAAAACTGATTAACTGCCAAAAAAATTTACCAAATAGACTGCATTGCCCACTGAAGCTTTATTTAAGTCCCATGTATCTTCCTGTAAGTTTGAGAACAGTAAGTGACATGGTTTTCCTTAAATGGTCATCATGGGAGCAGTGTCCAAAATAGGGGTGTCTTCAAATTTTGATGCAATATTACATAATGTTTAACAGGATAATTACCATCAATTTTTAATAATAAAATATTAGTATCATGGATATTCAGAAAATGTGACTAGCAAAGGTCTTCAGGCCCAAGGAACTTCAAAGTCACACCTTGAAAATGCCAAAATGTAGACAAGACAGCACTGTCCTGAAATGTGTTTTTTTTCCATTTTTAACAATTTTTTAACATATAACAAAATTAACAATTTACTGCCATTTATATATGATCAACTAAGAAAAATGATAAGATGGGAAAAATATCAATAGAACAGTGTTTAATGTCCAATTTCCTCCATTCTGAGTTTCTGAACATAGTGAATGAATGAATCTGACAAACTGCAATGATATCAGTTTATTTCCATTTTTGAAACTCTATTATACAATACATGATAACAAGTTTACCCTCATTTTTACATAATCAACTAACAATGTTGTAAAGATGCAGGAAATGTCAAACAAACACTTTTACGAATCTTATTAGTTAAATAATGAGACTGTTAACATGCCTAAACAGTGTTGCATATATGCTGAAAAGTGAAAAAACAGCATAACTACTAAAATAGTGGCCCGATCATGCCGAATTTTGAACTTGATCTGCGTTTTAGTAAGATTGATTACTCCTGTGAGTTTCATGACAACAGGCCTATCGGTTTTCCTTGAAATGTGTTAACAGTGTTGCATATATGCTAAAAAGTGAAAAAACAGCATAAATTCTACAATAATGGCCCGATCATGCCGATTTTCGAACTTGACCTGCGTTTTATGAATATTAGTCAGCTCTGTAAATATAAAGCCAAAAAGTAAAATTGCCTTCCACTTATGGTGTTAACGCTGAAAGTGCACGGCGACGGCGACGGCGACATGATCGGCGACGGCGACGACAGACGCAGGTGATGGCAATATGTACAGACACATCTGTGTCTGTACATAAAAATCAAAACTTCCATACATGTAAATACCCTCAATAAACATGATTTGTACATTTTTATAAAAACCCACTGGGCCATGCCTATTTGAACCCAATACAACAACAACAAAAACTTTAACCTTATACCTTTACCAAAAAAGAAGGCCATGGACTCACCCCTTCACAAAGATATCGGGTTTGAATGCAGCCAGCCTGGCCAGGACTTTGAGGAGCACCTGCTGCACATACACACTTCTGCTGTTTTTGTGTCGCAGTACTGCCTTGCACACCTGGAAAATAACAATAACAAGGGTTAAAAGCTTAGAGGTACTCTGTATGGGATTTAGATCTTCCCTCCATAATGAATTTTCCATGAGGAGGGGACAGGAGAGGGGAGAAGGAGGGGAAAAATCAATTTTCTCCTACTCATAAATTATTGCTCAACCCATCTTTGCACTTTGACTCAATGTTTTATTTCATTTTTAATTGAACGATTTAGCTCTAAGTGCAGTGGCAATCTATGGGAAAGGAATCAAAGGTCATTTTCTTACTATGACTTTCTTGGGCAAAAATAACAGCTATTGTTCCTTGTTATTTTATGTCATCTTTTTCAGATTTGACAAACACTGAGATACAATTAATTTACATTCTGATTATAGCAACAAAACAGCGAAGCAGTTAACAAAACGCTTCAATCTTCAAAAATCCAAGCAGAGAAAATCCAGACACAGGTAAACAGTGAATCATATAACATCCAATTTAAAAAAAAACAATCTTTGCTTCACACCTACCTTAGTAAAATGGTCCAGCATTAGCTCCTTACACGTCCTGCTCTCAAAGAAGAACTGTTTCTGAGGTTGGGCCATGCCAGGAAACACCACGCTGCTCAATAGGGGGCTCCTCTGATGCATCTGGAAGACGCTGGGGTTGTGGTGGTGGGGGTGAGAATGGGGGTGCTGGTGCTTGGACTTGCCGTGGGTGGTCTGATGGAAACAATAATAGATGACAGTTAAATAATTATGAAGATTTTTCTTACTAACTTTTGCTTGTGACCAACATGGTTGGAGGCCTTCATCCAACTGACTTGAGTAGATGCTGTTGGTCACCGACTGCTAGGACCCTTTTGTTAATGAAAGTTAGATCGACCCCCCCCCCCCCACCACACCACACACACACACACACTGTCCCTATTCAGTGATGGCTGGCAAATGGTAATTAATGCAAAGACCAAAGTAGTAAGAAAATATTCAGCTTGTCTTTTCATCTATGGTTCAACTATCAAGCTAACGGCCATTTTGCTCAATATAAGGCAAAGCGTCTTTGGAGAGAATTAAAAGCAAATTTGTAAAATATCTCAATCATATTTAGACTTCTGAGCTACACTTGGCTATATACCATTCTGTTCAAATATCAATATATATAGTATTTAAACTGTGCAATCCTAGTTCATATGTCAAAAATGCATTACCCTGTAACTTTTCTCATGGTAATGTTGCTGCAATGAGATGTCTTCCATTTCTTGTCGAAATCGCTGAAAGAAAAAAGTGCCATTAAGTCTTTTAATCCTGTTATTTCACAATACAATACAATTAAGTTTACTCACTTCAGATATACAAAACACATCAACTAATCATGAACAGACATTCTTTTGTTACCCTGAATGATGAATCAATGCAAATATAATTGTAGTACATCTTTTAAACATTTCAAAACTATCAGACGTAGGCTGCCTATCATAATGCAGCACACATCATGCACCTCACCCTCATAATTACTACATCTCAGTAACTTGTTGACAATAAGAAGCAGGCCTCTCTAACCTCACCCCCATCATAACATCTTAGGATCTTGTTGATAATAAGAAGAAAACATCTCTAACCTGGTAAATCTCATCAACTTGTTAATGATAAGTATCAATGTCACTTACCTCGCCTTCGTTATTACTACATCTCAGCAACTCGTTGATGATGAGAAGAGAGCCATGTGCCCAGTCATCACGAGTCAGACGCAGGTACTTGCCATGAAGTTCATCAAATGGTTTCTCGGCTTCTTCGTAACATTGCTAAAATGGAGACCAATGAATGTTTTTTTCTCCTTTAATTGCATTTTTCATCATATTTCACTATTTCAACTTGGTGCAGTGTGGAACAAAATCCAAATTTTATTTAATTAGTTTTTATAACAATTCAGCACATGACACTGCCATTGCAATTTACCAATTTATTTATTTCATTGAACACCCATCAATCAAAACACACAATGCACAAAACATTGCTTGTAATGATGACATTATAATTACAGACTGACATGAATGTGAAATATTCAAAATAATTCTCATAATGATTTAGTAACAACTCAGCATTGTCAATATTTTACTGAATATTCATTGAACAAACTGTAGCATTAGAAGTAGCACATAGGCAGCCAACAATATTAGAGGCTGAATAATGTAACAATGTAACAAGCTGAATAAATGAAATCATTAAAAAAATCATGACTGTACACCAGACAATGCTGGATGCTACTATAATAGACTGACATTAATGAAAAACAATCCAAGAGGATTCACATAATGTGCAAAAAGGCAAAGATTCGTTGCTATCACCATTTTGTTGTACATGTATATTCATAAAACACAGATCATGTATGTGAGGCAATGGTGGATGCTACTGTAATAAAGACTGCAGTTTGTATTGAACAAGTAACACCTACCTTATACCAGAGCGACTTCTGCCCCTCCTTTGTCTCTCTCTGTGAGGTGACCACCAAAGCTGCTCTTAGTGCAGCAACTGAGCCTTCTCATATAGCAGGCTGATAAATAGATAAATAGCATTAACAATAGCTTTTAGTTGTTCACTTTCTGAACTTCAATCTACTCGTTACTTTTTTACCAGGTGCTCAAAGTAGCAGTCTGAGTCCAAGTTCAAATAGGTAAATCACCAGTAATAAAAAAAATCAGATTCTATAACTCAATAAGCAAACTGTTTTCACATCTGCTACTAACTACTGTCTCCGCCAAGACTGTCAAAACTTTATGATGACAAACAGTGACCCGTGGCAGATATAGGCCGTCTTCTGTGTCTTCTGGAAGACGGTTAGATTTTCAAATTTACATTGACAGGTACCTAATTTTCCTGTTGGAAGACGGTCAAAAATGGAGGACAGATCACCAAAGATAATTTGGAAGACTGTCAGAATATATATCTGGATCTGCCCCTGGCGCCAGCATATTACACTCTTTAGGACAAGTGTTTTNAAGAAAAGGCAGGTATGTGACAAAATGAATGAACAATGCAACTTTATCTTCAAATAAAATTAGCCTGTCACGTCCAAGACGGAAAGAAATGAAACGTGTGAGTGTGATTTTTGCCAAGTCTGCCTCTGCAGATTATTCACAGAAAGTAGGAAAGAGACCACCAAGACCAAGTGACCAAGGCGGTGCAGAAAAATTGAACAAAAAATCTTCAATTTATTGATGTTGACACGATTATCCAAACTAAGAGCAAAAACCATATGTTTTTCTGCTCTCACATCTAATATTTCAATGTGTCACTCCGCGAAAATATTGATATTTTTCTACAAATATGAGAAATTTCCCACGCCTATCTTACCTTACAAAATTGCAATGGAGGTCGCCATTTTTAATCTCGCGAGATTTAGAGATATGTTTGTTTTGCATTTATTACATATTTTAAAATGTCTAGATCTATATTTCATGTGCCTACTATTATTGAATATTTTCATATATTCGGTTTTTGCAGTTGCTTGATTTATTTTGGGACATACTTTATTTTGTCTCTAAGAAGGCGAATGAGGCTAAAAGCAGCCAAAACGAGATTGACTTAATTTCCGGTGGAGGCATGAACATCGTATTCTGTGTAATCAAGATTAGATGATGTAAATAGCATTGTGAAAAACGTCAGAAATCACGACTCAAAATGGCAGGCGAAAAAATCACAAATGGTGTGCCATATGGCGAGAAATATTCTAAAACAGAAAAGCCGAAAGGGACTTTTTATTCCGTGGTCGCAGCTCTGAGGCCGTGGTCATTCAGCGCTTCATTGGTGCCAGTGGCTCTTGGAAGCATGTTAGCGTACAAAGATAGCGGGTATTTTAATGTGTGGATATTCATAGTGACATGTCTCACAGCCTTATCGGTCCACGGGGCTGGAAACCTTGTCAACACCTACTTTGACTACATGAAAGGGGTCGACGGGAGTAAGAGCGATGACAGAACGCTGGTGGACCACATCCTTGCCCCAAACGATGTGGCCCAGCTGGGGGCAGCGCTGTACACTGTAGGGTGTGCAGGGTTCGTTCTCCTCGTCTACCTGTCCCCGGCAAAGATGGAGCACCTGGCTCTGTTGTACTTTGGCGGACTCTCGGGGAGTTTCCTCTACACCGGAGGGCTAGGACTGAAATACATTGCCTTAGGAGACATCGCCATTTTTCTAACATTTGGACCAGTGACTGTCATGTTTTCCTTCCTCGCACAGTGCGGGAAGCTCTCTCTCCTTCCGCTTTGGTACGCCGTGCCATTAGCACTGAACACTGAAGCCATCCTCCACTGCAATAACACAAGAGACATGGAGACTGATAAGGCCTCTGGTATAATCACCCTAGCCATCTTAATAGGCAGGACTGCATCCTATCTGTTATTTGTACTGTTATTATTCTCCCCATACATCAGCTTGTTCGTCCTGGCCCTCCATTACTCAGGATGGTTTCTACTTCCTGTGCTGAGCATATTCCCAGCATTTTCAAGGGAGAGAGATTTCCGGGAGGGCAGGCTAAGGAGACTGCCACAGAAGCTAGCGCAACTAAATATTGTGTTTGGACTTTCATATGTATTAGCTTGTTTTTTAGCCAAAGGAAGTATGTTACCTGGAATGAGACATTGAGTCTTGATGTTATTAATGGGGATGATGTGGTGTTGAGTTTACACAAGGAATGTTCACAACAGTGTTACATGTGCTAACAGAAATTTTGAAGATAAACTGTTGTCTTTATTTATTTAACATTGTTTAAAGCCTTGCGCATAGTTTTTTCTTTTTTTTTTTTTTTCAACACAAACCAGAAGTGAAGCATCAGAGGCTGAATTATTTCAAGTGTGAACAGACTAAGAACTATACTGATGATTACATAAATTTATGTTGTGGCATATCTTAATGTAATAATTTATATATCACAGTTTATTCTTCCCATATTGTAACTGTAGCACTTGCAAGGACTGGAACACGGATTTCAAAATTTGAACAGATGATTTAGAAAACCTGTGGCACTTATTGTAATCTGCAAGGGATCTCTTTGTTGCATGTTCACTCAGTATAAACTGGTTGAGAAATGCTGATATCTTTCGTCAATCCATTTCTTGTCTGAAAAAAAAGCTGGGTGTATAGGCAAGCATTGCAGTAATGCTGTCTGTCTTTATTTTATTTTATTATTATTTTTTTTTGGTCTGTTTACACAAAGACATATTTAAACTGGGTTTTTAAACTTGCATTATCAGAAGTTCGTATCAGCCATGGCAATATAAATGTACTTGTTAACTAGTTGTCTGATGGTGCAAGTTACCCCACATTCCAGGTCAAAAGTTGCCCAGTTTGAACAATGTTTTATTTGTAAACAGAACTCTGTCTAGCCTTCATTTTTGAAAGTGCTAGACTTTTTAAAAAAGAATCTCATGCTTAAGTGTCCTTTGGCTTTTTTTTTTTTTTTGGGGGGGGGGGGGAGGCTATGGAGAGTTTTTGTTCTGTTTACTCATTTCTTTTATTATGTCATAAGTGGTTGTTCCATGAAATACTAAATAATCAAATTGAATCTTTACATTTTTGTGTTCCTCTGAACAAAATGTTCAACACTTTTTTAACTGAGAGATTTGATTGAAGATGAATATTTCAAACAAAAGAGCAAACATTGATTTCACAGAATTGAAAAATACAGTTGACGAAAATGTTTATATTTCTTGGCACAAACTGGCCGCTACTCGAATGATTCCATAGGTTTTCTCCGAGAATGACACCAATAAAGTTGGAGCGTGTTTAGGCTACGTGGCTAACGATCACCTGTATGGCATGCACTAACACGCCGTCTCGCCAATCTCAACTAACACAATTAGGTACCGTCTCGCTAATCACAACATACACAATTTGGTACCGTCTCGCTAATCGCAACTAACACAATTTGGTAGTTTGTGTCTCGTTCAGCCTCTTTTTATATATTGATAACTTTTTTTGTGACACAGTATCACCACCAATGTCTGCTTTATAGGCCTACATAAGCAAAGAATACCTGACCTGTTATGATTTGGGAGAAGTCACAATAAACTGGATACTTCTAAGACCGGTCTTAATTCTAAATATTTTGCGAGAAACTGTTGATAGAAAAGTATGAAAAGGCAAATAGAAATAAAGCACACTTCCGCAAAGAAAATGAAACGCTTTTTTTTTCGATTTAAATGTATGTGGTGGTGTATGTGAAGTGGGGGCATAAGAATCAGGTGATACAAAATACCAACCTCGGTAATGTATGCTCAAAGGCGACCATTTAAATAAGCTGTAATTTCATCGCATAAAACGACAATACATTTTACGTGACACTATATATATAATGGTGATGCATATTTATCACCAATATCCACGGGAAGTTAGATGTGCAATTTCATGTAACCTTAGAAGGCATTTTAATTATTGACAATAAGATCAATTGAGTTATCAGAACTACGTTACATAAAAACATATAATTTGATACTTGTCATTTTAAGTAGAATACAACAAGGAAGTTGTCAATGTAGAATATCAAAGCAATAGGTCAAGTAAATAGATTGGATTATTTAACTATGAACTTTTTACGATAAACTAACAGAAGAAACCAAGTTACACTGCAAGGTTCCAAACAGATGGCAAGGAAAAAATAATAAAATGTTTGAAGTGTAAGAATATACGATAGACAACTTTGTAGGCCTAAAGCAATGCAGTATCCAAATCAATAACCATAGGTGAGCTGCTTTATACGATCCCCATCAATTGCTATTTTTCATTGTCGCGAGGTGAAAACACAGTGAGATGTAAATTTTTAATCGACTCCCCGAAATCATCTATATTCAGAAAGTTCTTGTGTGGAGAACACTGTTTAAACCGAAAAAGGATTTAACATTTTATTTGCTTTTTTTTCCAAAATAGTTGCACACAACTAAGAGATGTTTGTATTGATGGCGATCGCAGTCGCGGATATTGCAATTGGCGATGGGCGTTGTAAGTATGTTCACGTATGTTTGGTTATTCTTTCATTTTTTAAACAAGGCAGCAAAGCTGTCAAATGTACAGACAAAAAACAGAAAAAAAAAAAAGATGCAAAATAGGTCATTATGTCAATTTTGATGCAATAATAAATGCTTATAATAGCACAGTCAGTCAACACTGATTTTTAATCATGCACAACAGGTAACATGGTCAATAACAGGAGCAGATTCAGAGATATTTTCTGACAGTATTCCAAAGTATCTTTGTTGATCCATCCTCCATTTTGACAGTCTTCCAACAGAAACCCGTTAATATAAACTGTAAAATCTGACTGTCTTCCAGGAGACCCAGAAGATGGTCTTAATCCACCCTTTCAATAAGATTACAATGTCAGGACC